TYMAAAAAAATCATGAGACMTKTGTTGTCTTCGCACAGCAGTCATCAYTGAGTTTCATGAMATTGTCTGCATTCAAATTTAGAGATGATTCAATGTTTAAGACTTAAAAAAAGTTATAACAAAGTCACCATAGGTTATTTCTTTACTCAATTGTGGATAAGAAACTTTTGATCGACAAAGGTAACCATATTCAGATTGAATGACTTGGCGTCGTGTTGGTCCAAAGCTATACAATTGAATAGGTAACATAAATCCAATAAACCGGTATAGTCAAACAGTTTGTACAGGTGCTGATATAATAAAATGTACGAATAGCAACCAAACAGACAAACAAACAAACAAACAGACAAACAAACACTAATTAACTAGATATACAAAAACATAGCCCTAGTGCAAAAAATGAGAACTTGACGTATCTTCGCTAGTCCCAGKACACTTTAATTTGTCTTCATCTCCACGTCACACTAATGTTGTGATGTCATTCCACGCTACGGTATCAATTTGTTTTTGTTTTCTTCGCTGGGTCAATCAGAAGTCTTTTGGTCTTATCTTCATTTCAACCCGTTTCATTAATGCATACTTCTCAGGTTTGGAATCGTCCAATGTCCATAACATCAACACCAAAAACCCGGCGTCATTATTCGACTTTTTCAGTAGGTCACTGAGCMGTTTAGAGCCATACTGCCCGTTAAGGTTGCTGTGGAAGCATTTATTGTACCACCAGCCCCCTTTGTAGAGAGCTGCACATGACCTAAACTCATCATAGTCGTTGTCACGATCCCAAGTAGAGAATTTTACCTTCTTGTGAATTTCCATTCCATCGTAGATGYTTCCTGAAATTGTTGTAGAGATATTTAGAACGTAATGGCGCATCCAGCTGGTGGGTGCAGTGGGCGCGTATCCCTTCCTGGGACCGTTAAYCCTTTAATAWCATTTTTCATCATAAAATAACATTGTAGTGTCCGTAGGTTCGTTTTTCAATGTCACTTACCCTTGAATGTTCCAAGAGAAAGGCGATARCCATCRGTTTCATTTGACACCCCAATCGAGTCATAGGACGCGTTGTACAGATTTCCATCGAAGTCTTCCATGTCTATCCTCAGTTTATATGCCCCTTGTGACGTCAGAGAGTGAATGGTGTCCAGTCCCAACCAGTACTCTGTGAACTTGTTACCAAACCCTYTCTTGTAGTCGTCCCAGTCACGGTTGAATTTTATCGAGCCGTCTTGTCGTTTTTGGATAATAGTCCATCCACCACCACTAGTTTCCATGTCACAGTAGGCTGAAATTTGGAGAGAGGGAATGGGGTTGATGTGATAGACACCACTTATTTTCCTGTGAATTTTGTAAATGTCWGCGCAGTCGGCAAAGACGGCGTCCTGACGAAACAAAGAATGTGAGTCAGCCAAGGCAAACACTAAACACTAAAAGCTCATAACAAACAACTACCATCAATAATTAACTAGCCAACCAAACCAATTAAAAACCCAACAAATTGATTAACCAACCAACAAATTAGACAAGAAAGTGAACAGACAACCTACCAATCAAACTACTTCATAAATACCCATCCGAATCCCAAACCAAAACTACTAACCTACCAATCAATAAATCAACTAACATAACATAACATAACGTAACCTAACCTACCAATCAATAAATCAACTACATATCCAAACAACTAAACAATTTGCCTACTAAACCAATCAACCAAACGATCAAACAACCAAATAACCAATCAATGACAAAGCTTAAAGTACAGTGAAAATGGTTTGATGGATCGACGGCCATCCATAATATAAGACCTTTCGGAATTAACATTTGSCAGATACAAAAGACAACAATTTTTATAACTCGAAAATTTTTCGCTGCGGATATAAACCCTCTCGTGTACACGCCGGCATACCCGTATTCGGAGCGCTTTGACGCATTTCGACAGTAAAAGCGCGGTTTMAAAAATTTCCAGAARCGAAAATGTTCGACATCGCGTGCTCTTATAATTACCTCTATAGATATGTAGGTAAACTGGCCATTGGGAATCAAATCTTTGTTCTTTGGTTTATCCTTGAATAACTCACATAATCGMAGACCAYTTTCTAACTTATTTTTCTGTACGTTAACGGMAACACACTCTTCTTTCATCATTGCACATTGATACGCACAATCAATGTCGTCAGAGACTTGAAGCTCTTTCACTTTACCAGAAMGACGTCTATATCCTCGTTTTATATTGAAATAAGTGTGCTTCTGGCTGTCTGTAAAGAGCTGTGGAAACTCATCCCATTCGGCAAGACATAGTGATTGAAGTGAACTGACAAGGAATGCAGCTAAAAAAAGGCTAAATTCCGCCCTCATCATTAGTTGAATCTTGTATAAAAGTAACAYAAAAGTGATAGTCGTTTGAATTGTATAGCTTGGCAAAGTCAGTATTATTTGATCAAATAGTCACTATTGTTTTCAAAAGGCAAATAAGTCAGTTTTGACAGTTACGATTGTCAAGAAATGCATTTGGTGATAAATARGTTAACGGTTATTCCAGCGCCTTTATTTTAAACAATATAAATATACTTAAACCTACAAACAAAAGTAACATGTCAGTTACATACTGAACGATGTCTATATTTGAAGGAAAGACAGTAAATATGGGAAAATTCGAAACCAATTGAAATGAGAAAAATGTCACTATAAAGAAATGAAAGGCAATGATGAACTGGAAAAAAATGACTGCAAATAATCTGACAGTTTCACTCAWTTATACTGATGAATTAATTCAGTATCACGTGAAATGCATCGATAGTCTAGACAAAAAATGCATGGCCTTTGAAAATACGAAACTGACTTGAGAACAAAGTTTTCATTAAAACGTACATGAACAAGTTTGTTGTTGAAATTTACTGTCATGGCGTTCGTCCACATCGAATGTTAGTTCTCCGGCCAAATCTTATCACCTTATGGTTGACAGTTTAAACACAAAACTGGGTCAAATTAGGAAGCTCAATATAAACACACCTTTAGCAATAACTTCAAAGTACCCATAAAAAAACTTTGATTCSGACAGTATAGAACACAAGTTTACTTTTGATGTGGAAAAATACTAATWTRAAAAAACGTTTTTCCCACAAATAATACTGGCGTAATCCCTCMATCTATAGCATATGGCTTCAAGGTTTACATTTGTCCTGCTTATCTAGGTGTTGCAGCTATACAAATATCATTGGCATATTTCATACAAAGTCTTTGCCAATGTTTACAGTGAAAAGCAGTTCCTTTTCTTATTTGATGGAATATTCTATTCACGTTTATTTTGTTTACGTAATTTCATCACAAACCTGAAGATGATTGATGGAATGACGAATGTCTATTAACTAAATCGTTAAAATTACTAAAGTAACTTGGTTGTTGCCAATGAAACAAAAAGTTTCCCCTCCCCTCTACCCAGGCCCGCCCTCGAAGCCCGGGGGGGGCACTCGACCCCATTTTGGATAGGTACGTGCCGCCAGCGGTCTAAATCCCTGACCCTGTTTAAGACACTAAAAAGTAAAAATCCATACCCTGTTCAATACAAATCGGAAAAATAAGGAATAGCTATCTACGCCGCAACCATCAAAACTGCAATTATACTGACATCCATCAAAGACAATAAGAAGTTTTTGATAACACGTTAATTCTGGAACAGTGAAACGGTATTTCTACGGTGTTATGAAAATATTACCCTGTCCAAGACACACAAAAAAATTATATCGGTCTCTTTTATCTAAATTGTAGAGCCTGTTTAAGACAATTTCGGGTGAAATGTATACCCTGTTTAAGACAGCAAGGCCAAAAACCATACCCTGGCCAGCGGCACGTCCCCGTATAGCNATCAAATAATTCATCATATCAACTCACAAGCAAAAGGATGCCAAACATTCGACAGTTGATCACTGATGGAAGCGTCATGGATTCCTATGGTAACAAAGAAAAACATCCGCTGATCAGATGCTAGTATCTAGAACATGTACAAAAAGAACTGAATTAAGAACTAAGCCACTTTATCGATTTAATGCTCTATTTTGGTTAAATTTTATAAATAGTTATTTTTTTCACTGACGCCATTTTTTCCATGGCAATTGCTAAGGTCTCTATGTTCTAAAAATGGAATTTAAAATTCTACATGCTTGCCATGTTACAACATTATTTAGCTACTTTTGACGTCATTTACGAAATTCTCGTGTTCATTCAACGTTGGTTCACTATTGTTGTCCACATGTAATGTTTGCTCTTTTCTACTGCTATCTAAAATGACATCTGTTGTCAGAATATTTTCRTTCGTTGTTTTCTTGTCTTGTATTAATGGTTTCGCGGTYTTTGGTTTGTCGTCTTGTTCTCCTTGTGACARAGTAACTTGAGGTATCATGGGTAATAKTGGCGAAGTAATATCCYGTRTGTYCAATCCCAGGCTCTTCGACTCATCACTAACATGACTTGACCCGGAAATAATTGTGATGGAATTTGGCGGGAAAATGGCAGCTAGGCAACGGTCGACGAATGGKGTYAGATCCTCGACAAGAGTCTTAGCAAAGCTGGTGAATAGGACTCTTTCCTTTTCATTCAAGGCAGCAGCTTCCGTCCTGATGGAATACAACGATTAATAAAATATAAAGCCACTGGYGATCTCAGAATATGATAAATGGATTATGTCACTGAAAGGAAGCAAATATGACAGTCCATTCAACTAGACTTATATAGTATCTTTTTACATTGTATAATACATTGTATAGAGTCAATTTCGTATGAGTGGGAAACGTACGGTAGAAATTACCACACGGTTAACGCACAGTTACCGGACCTGGTCTGCACAATTTTTGTGAAGCAATGAGACACTAGAATTTGGTTACAGTACGATTACGGTTACAGTACAGTACCGTCCGTTTCCCACTCATACGAAATTGACTSTAGTACATTGTATAGCACATTGTATTTACCTGTGAAAAGTGCAAGTTGTTTCAACAACTGCCGACAGTGATGCATGAAGTGTATCCCTGACTGGATGAACAAGTGACAAAGGTGCACAATGCCGTAGCTCATTGAAAGCTGAMAGGATAGCATTTGTGTAAGCTGCTAGTGGAGGATGGTCTAGAAGRCTGTAAGGAGGCACCAGGCTTTTGGGCTCATCATTCTAAAGTATTTTAAACATGACGTCAATGACAATAACAAGATTAAATAGTATAAATCATTGATTTTGATTACTTTAATAATAAATAATAATTACAAGTCAAATGCTATTCCAATAATACGCTTTGCACCTTTTGTACTGTGGTTGACATGACAGTTGATGTCAAAACACTTGGTGGTGTTTGTAGYGTATAAGATGACATAGTTCCCTGAAATCTAAAACAAAACAATTTTTTAACTCTAAAACATACCACTTCCAATAACAGCACTAAAACTTACACTTTTGTGGCATGTTGAACAGCATTGACAAAAACCTTCAGAGAAGCTGACTGGAACAGTGGAGGCAAGAGACCACGGAAATCAGCCCCAACACGACTAAAGGATAACCCAAAATACATGCATTGGCCAAGAAGAGAATCAAGTCTACCACCCACTCCTAATGCTAGATCTTTTTCTAGTACTTCAAGGAAATGAGAGACCTGGAATAATAAGAACCTCGTAAATACACAAATCCATTAAAATGATAAGAAGGCCCTGTCCATGAGAACCCCATGGGTAAAGTTCCCTTAGATAGGCCTTATGGGTAGAAACATGTCAAGTGTTAAAACGTATGGGTCCATCATAGTACAAACCCTTTACATAAGGTCCCTTGATAAGGGTCCTAAAGCCCCTTTGCATAAGGTCCCTTGATAAGGGTCCTAAAGCCCCTTTGCATAAGGTCCCTTGATAAGGGTCCTAAAGCAGTCAATGACTGCCTAAAACCAACATTTATTAAAGTAATGATTACCTTCTGTACTATCCAACAATGAAATAGATTACTATACGCAGGACTGTCTTCATCCTCCATTGACAGAATTGGATCATCATCAGAGAATATTGCTCTATATTGTGTGACAATATCAAATAAATGCACACGGCTTGCTTCAATGGTCTTTGTTATATGGTAATAYRGATCATCAGTAGGTATTCCAATCAAAACACTTTGCAGCCAGGCATCRCGAGCTTGGAGAAACTTGATACGTAGCTCTGGCTCTGAGAATACCTCTAGTCGGCGCAGGAACCCTATAACTCGTAGACAGGCAGGTAGTTGTATTGCGGATCGAAGTTGTTGAAGTAGTTGTGAAAGCATGAGTTGTGTTGACGACTGGACTGTTTCTACAATGCTTTGCACAACAGGGATATTTGCTAGCTTGCGCTCTAAACGTTTAACATAGGATGCAAGTTCAAGAGCTTCTTCATAATATCCATTTCTTACACATGTATCCATAAGCTGAAAAGATAATATCATAATCAAAAGAAAATAATAACAAAATAATAAGTAAAAACGAACCATTTTCTATCTGCTGTGCTCCGCGTTCAGTCGTTCGTTGCTATGTAAAGGAAGCGCCTAGCCGGTAGCACGCCTATGTGTAAGTGTCTGTAAAATGTGTCTGTAATATAGCACTTCGACTTGAGAGCGCGTCGAGGTGCGTCTTTCGCAATTCAGCACCTATGCTGCCATGAAGGACGATTAGCACCCAACACCCTTACCTTACCTATTTACCTATAATGGAGACAATGTGTTTTGAATGTCAATTTTTCTTGTCACAGACAATTATTAACCCACTACAGATGTACAAACCTGTGGAATTTCAAGAATCTCTAGAAGTTGTGTRTGTCTTGCTAAGGTGAGAGAATTTAGCCTGCGACTATAAAAAATTATGAAGTTAGCCCTGGATTAAATCTTACTGGACCTATAGAGTAAACCTTGRATTGACTAAAATTACCAGACCCTGGAAGAATAAAAACTTAAGATGCTGTACCTGCTGTTGATATCTTGAGCTTCTGTCATAAACTGCTTGCATGTTTCAGAAAATTGAGGGAGTTTTTCTAATAAAGACTCCACATGTTTTTCCACTGATATAAACTAAAGAAAACATAAAATGGATTTATTAATACAGAAGTGATTTGTTAGAACCAGTGCACAGATACACAGAAGACATCAAAATGTGACGAGAACAACAGCCTTGGTGCTTGATTTTATTTCATCACATTTTGACATTATTTGTCTAACTATAGAGTAATTTTGCAAGATGTTATTTTCATTCGACACTTACATCTTGAAATATTTCTCTTGAGCAATCTGCTGTCTTTATAAAAGTCTTGTAATTGTGAAACGCTAAGTCTTGTGTTTGCTCAAGGACTTGATCTCTTTCCTCTGCAAGACGATCCGGCTCTCGTCCTGTTATAAACATACATACATTGATGTTAATAGAAACATTCCTAAAAAGCATAATCAATGACAATTTGTCAATTGAAAATTTKTCAATTTGATTAAAGGTCTTAGCGTGATACTTTACTTTAATATCTGGTGTATAGATCAAAAAAATCATAAGGAAAAGCGGATGTTTTTTACCAAGTCTGTCGACCCCTGACGAACACAGTTCGGCCAGATATGCAGCAAAATCGGGATTTTCTCGCCATGATTCTACGAAATAGAATGATTAATATAGAAAAGAGTTTAGTACTACTGTTGGTTAGAGGACAAATCTACAAAAATCTTACCAGGGAAAGAATCAGTGAATAAAGTTTGAATCAAATTCTGATTGTCTTCTTCTGCCTCCGTGGCAGCCATTTTCAAAATACTGCACATGTATTTCTTTGGACAACCGCTGTACTGGTATTAAATGTTAAGTGTGAAAGAGTGAAAAATGGAATAAATATTAGAGAAAAACAAAGATGAAACACACAACACTTGCTGGACTTTAGTGCATTTTATTTTTCTGATTCAAAATAGAGCGATTTTCGTCTGCTTTGGAAAATCAATATTTTATTTTTACTATACATTTTAATGATTGAAAGCTGTTCCATGGCGGAAATCACTCTAACGCGCGAAAAAGAATACATACATCATAAGCTTAACTACTGTTGTATTTGGGGTAATCTTCTGTCACTCGTTTCTTTCATTATTTCTGGAACGAAAGACATTTTCAGAAGATTACTTCTTGGTAACCGAGAAAAATGACAGTGTCAGGAGCCCATCTTTTTGCCACACTTGTGTGAATTCTCGCACGCTAATTGGCTGATTAGTGCGTCAATAACAGACATACAAACTATGCTGACACCACCACGTCTCCTGCATTTTTTTTTTAAATAAAAATGCGCTTAAAAAATTCTCGTGGTTTATACGATTGATGACCTCTTATTCACACACTATTGACGTTATAAAATGCTCAAGACCTTGCAGTAAAGCCACTTGAGTTTTGAGAATTATGTCAACATCATTGTGAATAAGAGGACTGACTCGAGAGCCTGCGATATTTGTTAATTAGCATTATGTAGACTAATTATTGCATTCTTAATAAAATTTATTTTGCGGGTTTAGGAAAACCACCTTTTGCAATATTGTTAATTACTACTACGGAATTCAAGTCTAGATAACATTAATGTTAAGCGTTGCAAAACGTCTGACTGTATGACAATCACGTACGCGCAGCAGAGTTACCAAAAACCAAACAACAGCGAACAGCCCAAAGGCTAAAATATAATCGGCAGTAGCTATTTTTTCGCATAACTATAAACCTAAACTTCCATTCTGTTTTCTAATCGCTTTTTAGATGAAACATCCTTTCAGACATTACTAAATATCTTTGTCAAAGCGATTGTGAATCCATAGTTGAACTCTGTCCATACCAAAACCTATGAAACACTGAATGACATACATACATATCAACACAACCATATACCATCTAGCATACACAAATCTATACAAAATATAAAAACAAGCAATTATAACAAAAATAAAGAAAATTACTGAAAAAATCATCTGTTTTTTCACTGTTGACTCCTGCTTATCGGTTGAATCTTGGACAAGTTCGTCTCCAGGCGCGCAGAAACCAACTTCATCATTTTTGTAAAACCTAGCTAATCGTTCTTCTTTTTCTGCCCATCTTTGGCATAGCCATTGTTCCAGTTCAGAATAATCAGTAGGCATTTCATTGATATGATAACGCTTTATCTCAAAGTGGATTTCTTTGGGAAAGTTCCCTTTAGCAATGTCCACTTCTCGATAGCAATAATCTTGGTCATAGCCAATGGTAACATCATAAACGGCATCAATTCTTCGTGTTGCTTTGCGCAACTTCTCAATACAGTGGACAAATCCACGCACACGAGGATGGAGAACGTGTTTGTAAAGTGGGAGATTATTTTTACGAGCATAACTGTCACTTCGTGGTTGGCTATAATTGTCTAAATTTGTCCCTTCAGGAAAAATCATGAGTTGTATAGGATAGTTCATGTCTTTGAAGTAGTCCAACACGTTATTTAAGTATTCTTCGTCTTGTTCCCAACGCCTTTTCAAGAAGAGGTACATTGCACCTTGCATCCCCCAACCTAATATCACAAGTAATTAATAATCATATCATAATAATTGATTATTAATTAACCATCCTGTCAATCATGTTATTAAACAAACGCCACTTCTGACTAATCCATGAATAAATTATAAAAATATGCTCATGAAATAATTATCTAGTTAATCACCAAATAAATAATTAAAACAATGGTCTGGCAATAGATTTCAAGATGAGACTTCTATTGCAGAGACCCCTAAGCTTTGTAGGGCTGAACATCTTTTGCTGGATTGATTGTTTGTGCTGATCAAATTAATATGGTAAATAAACTTACAGCTTTCACTGAGTTACTCTTTGTTAACCAGTGTTAAACTGATTTACCCTTTTTCAAACTGAGCTACACTGTCTTACCAAATTTTTTATAGTTCCTGTGTATTTACTAAATCATATTATATCATCCCAATATAAACCATATCTAATTAATTAAGGGTGTACTGACGTATCCGTTTCTAGACGACCTGGTTGCTATGCTAGCCGATACTAGCCAATCGGAGAAGCGGGCGTGTGCGCGTTTTCATGGCGGGAAAATTTTTACTTCTGATGTAAAGGTTTTTGCTTATATAAAATGTATGGTATCATTTAAAAAATATAATCTTCGGTGCGAAACATCAAATGGACGTGTTTTTTCAATATTTATGTTCTTCACAGCCTCCTCTTCAGAACCAAACATGGGTTTGGCGAAAAATTAAAAAATACGAAAGTTATTGGCATTTTTTGCTTATTTGTGGCATTTAAAAAAATCGTAAAAAGTTTATTTGACAATCATTCTAAAAACGCATGCTTGGCTTTACGGACTTAAATCTAAAGATTAATTTCATCCATTYWAAATCRTTYAATATACTTTGCTTGATGAAATTATAGCATTTTTTCGTATTAATGACGTCACGCGATGACGTCATAGAATGTGTTATTTTTGTTTGGGAAGGCTTAATACTTAATACGAAAGCGATTTTACTTTTGTTTGTCATTTTAGAGAACTACTGAATTTCAGCAACGGATAGCAACGGATATGTCAGTACACCCTTAACCAACAATTAACTTGTACAATCATTAAACAAAATGCTTCTTACCAATACCAGGAATATACTTCAGGATGTCTTTCATCACCACTCTGAGATAGCACAACTTTCCATAACGCACTAATACGCTCCAATAAAACATCCARTCAAAGTAGCATCGATGATTCATTACAATTAATGCCACATCATTGCGAATTGGTTTATCACCCGATATCACAACTTTTACACCATGGGCAAGTTCTGTCAAAAGASAACATTATTTTTGTAAACACATAAGGACTCWTTAWCGCACGTGAACAACCGACACTTAACAAACAAGTGAAATGCTTCATTGCAAATCTTTATCCCTCAGGGATATCTTARCYCCCTTGTAAATGCAAACATGTAAATTTTTAGACACAACTGAAGATGACTCATAGTCGAAAACGTTTTTCAATGTTTTAATTTCATAACRTCTATATTTTCATCCTTGTACATAATAATAAATAAAAACATAAGATATATTCAAGAAYTTTAATTTTACTATTCACTAAACAAAAATGTATTGATATACAATGTACTAAAGATATAGGTAAAATCTACAAATCCATACTAACGGCAGAAGCATTCTTGTAAACCC